TGTGGTCCCATGGCCCTCTGTGGCCCAAAGTTAAAAACTGTTGTTCTTTTGAGGCCCTCAAGGTGGCACTCACGGTCCACAATTGGACCTCGGCCCATGGGTTAAGAATCTCTACTTTATATTATATAATGCTGTTATTTGCCACAAAGCCACACAATTCATTGACTTGATAATTAACTAACTATAGTGGTTTGCAGCCAAAGTTCAACATGTTGCCTTACCTGTTTCATCRTTGTCAAACCACAACCTCCTTTTACTGAAAAAGTTGCTCATTTTTGCACATTTAGTTGTCAGATTCCAGAGCTGTTCTCTTTTGAATTCTAAGTTTCTCCGCACCACACATGCTCTTTTCATCTTTCAAACATGACTGACCACGTGTGCTAACATGTTATGTCAGGGCGCAAAATCACAACAAATGAAAAAAAAAAAAGATGAGCGCTGCAATCTAGAGTCGGAGGCAGCCCTGGGCGCACGGCAGGCCATTGTGTCATATAATAGGGCGGCAATACAGGGAAAGCTGTAGCAGTGATCTGATCAATAACTAACATGTTGTTGGCCCTTGTGGCCCAATCACCAACCGGCCCACCGGGAAAAGTTCAGATCCTCCCGATTAGCTACATCGGGCCTGTTCACGTCCAAAAACCACAACCTCTGTCTTATCTGAGTTTAGAAGCAGGAAATTMAGAGTCATCCAGTCAAAAAGAAAAAGTAAGTATCCTCTGGATGGGTTCTTCTTTAGTGAAACGTTTCGTCTCTCCTCCAAGAGACTTCTTCAGTCTGATGAGTTTCAGGTGAACTCAGCCTTAWAAKCACTGCCTCCACMTGGACAAACAGGTTAGTCACATGGAAAAGAGGGCCATCACCTAACAATAGGTTGTCAGTGCCTTGATTGGGAACTGGATCTTTGGGGTGAACCAATCTGAGATTTCTCCAACAGCAATGTTCTCTTTGTCACTCTCATGAACCTGGTCAACCTGCAGCCTGCACCTCCTTCACAGTGGTCTCAGTGGTCTCTCACGCTGTGAGGACAACCTGATCCTGCTAGATTTTCACATTTTATATTTCTTCTATTTCTTGACGATGGATGTAACAGAGCTCCTGAGGATGTTTAGGCYCTTGTAGAAATGTTCCTGTATCCATCTTGACTTGTGCTTTTCAATAATCTTCTTTCAGAGTTGAATTAGGACAGTCACTTTAAAACCAGTGAATCTTTCCACAGTCGCTTCAATCAGTTTGTTGGTGTTACTCTTTAGAAAATGATTTCATTTTGACATTGAAGTTTTTATGAGGTGCCGTTTGTAAAGTTACACAGTCAAAAATTACCACCAATATTTTTATTTTATTTAG